AAGTCATGCAATTGAAGCCTAGTTTGTTCATCATTTGTTGGGAAATGTTACCAAACACCAACTAACAAATAAATAAATAAAGTTAAGCAATCATTGAAGTTTTTTTTTTTTTTAAAAAAAAAAGACAACTTATGTATCAGAAATGTATCGGAAATGCATAATTAATGTATCAAAAATGTATCAAAAATGTATCAGAAATGTATCAGAATGCATAATTCATGTATCCGAAATGTATCAAAAATGTATAAGAAACGTATCAAAAATGCATAATTCATGTATCAGAAATGTATAATTTATGTATCAGAAATGTATATTTTTTTACCTGCTCCTGATTTAAAAGAAAAAACTCTTTCCTCAACCTCTTAAATGTCACCTTCTTCTTTACTTTCCAGTTAAGTATGCATGGCACAAGATCTCCAATCCGGTAAGCGAGGTTTTTGCGAGTATAGGGGCAACATTCATAAAACCAACACTGGAATGCCAAAGGCAAACCACCATATCGATACATCTCTCTCCTGCTACGAACCTTATCCTTCATTGACTCCAACGTAGAATTAAAAACCACTTTTTCCCAAGGGAAAGTCTCAAAATCACCAGATTCAACCAACAGAAAATCATTCTTTGTTATCAAATCATCATTCGTAATAGAAAACAGGAAACTGTGAATGAAATACAATACTGCAATCTTTAATGCATCCTCATCAGATTTCCACATCTTTTTTAAGAAACAGTCAGTTAACAATTTCTTAGACACTTTCGACATGCTTGGAAAGTACAATTCCATTAACCGACTCGACTGCACAGATTCATAATCCTTATCGGGATCACCATTACACTTTAAACCTGTGATAATACAAAACTCTGCAAGTCCAAAGCGCAACTTGGTGCTATTCACTTTAATCCATAACTCATTATCTTTAGGTGACATTACTTCCCTAAGAAATAGTGAATGGATAAGTTGGTTCTGTATAAAAAATTCGGGCAAGCCCACAAAATAACCAAAACACTAGTTCTTCTAAAACATACTCAATACTGCTGATCATCCAAATTATCTTTCAAATGTTTCACTATATTGTAGTTTGTATGCACGCTGATACGAGTACTATAATGATCACCCAAAGGAACATAGTAATCCCAAAGCTGCAAACAACACAAAAATATAAATATATATAAGCTTCATAACAATCACAATTACGCACTTTAAACATTACTTATACAATATGTGGATAGATGATACACTTTATATACAAAAGTTGCACATTACTTATTGACTTGATACACATTATATACAATATGAAAAAGAATGATATATTTTATATACAAATCTGGAACATAACTGCTATATTGGTTAAATTTCTACATATTAAAATAAACTAACCGCACACAAGTCAAAGTTATATCATTAGAAAATACCTTCAAATCAGATGAGCTAGAACATTTTTGATCAGCATGAACTTTTCTCTTTTTTGATGGAACATCATCCCCATCACTTTTAGCCTTCCTTTTAGAACCTTTACCCTTATCTTTCACAATATCCTTTCCCACTATTTTAATCTTTCTTTTTTAACTTGTGCCTTTTTCAACAACTACATGCTGAGCAGTGTGTGACCTCGTTACTCTATCGCTGGGAGTCCCGCTATGATAAAGAGTCCTTCTATCAACAGGGGTATTTTGCTTTCCTTCACTAGGGGTATTTTGCATTGATTCAACAGATTTATGGGTTGCATGCCCCAAATCGCACCCAAATTCTGGTAAATCTTCAAAATCGTCATCATCATTCCTAATGAAATTAGGGTTATATTTCACTAATTGACCAGCTAATTTCAGAGAATTTGGAGATGCATTCATCTTCCTTTTTTTCTTCATCAAAGACTTCTTTTCCCCCATTATAGAGACGAAAATGAACAAAAATCGGAAAACCTATAGTCGACTATGAACAAAAATCGAAAAACCAACTGAAATTTTGACTTACATTGAAACCAAGAGTAAAAATGCAGAAGCTGTGTTTGAGAAAAAGGGTGTTTTGAGAGAGCCGGGTTAACGGAGCGAGTTAAAAGGAGTGGGTGTTTTATGGATTATGGGCTAGTAGATATAATAAGTTTGGGCCGGAGGGACATTTCGGGTCCAAGGGGAAAAACTTGGGCTATTAATATTTTGAAGGGCTATACAGGGTAGTTTTCTCAAAAGTTAAAGATATACTGCATACCAGAAGCAGCCCATTAGCCCAGTCCCAAAAAAAAGAATTAATCAAAATTGCACAACGTTCAAACTAAAAACTGTTAGTTGATATTTTAATATAGATATAATTTATGGGTAATATATGTATAACGGTGCATAATCAGTATATAATTCATATATGGATAGAGCACAATGTACATTTGAAAAGCATGTGATTTTTGTTGTTCATAGGTGAAAAAATTTAATTGGCTGATTCAACTGCATAATGAAGAGAGTTAATTTGGTGTATTTCAGAGTTTCACTTTCTTAGTAGTTCTGCTCTTAAGTCATTCCGTTTCAATTTATGTGAACCTATTTGACTGGGCACGGAGTTTAAGAAAAGATAGAAATTTTTTGAACTTGTAGTATAAAATGAGGCACATATATTTTGTGTGACTATAAGGTAAATTGTTTCCAATAAGAAAATGAGTCATTCTTTTTGGCACGGACTAAAAAGGAAATATATTCACATAAATTGAAACGGATGGAGTAGTAATTTTGCTGGAAAATTTGTACCAATAGTAGTGACCACATGCTACTTGGTCAGTCAGTTTTGTTCACTCTTTGCCTTTTAAAATACAAATTGTATTATAACTTGAATTCAAATGATCAAACCTATCAAACTTAAATTTTCTCATCCCACATATTTGAATGAATCATTTGAAAATAGCCTGAGTGTAAACTAATAGCCAGAAATCAAAGGAGAAAATCAACAAAGCAGACCAAATTCAAGCCACTATCATGACACGAAATGAGTATAGTTCTAAAGGTTGGCTGTTTGTTTATCATTAACTAATTATGTTGGAGTCATGACTCAAAAATGCAAGTTGAGTATAGTTCTAAAGTCGGCCTGTTGGTTGGCTCACATCACCATTTTAACAAGTATATTAGATCCAGACATAAACTTGCCGTGGAGTGAACTATTTGAGTTGTCACTTGACCATTAACAAGAAATAACATGGTCACGGTTGAAATCGATTATGACAATGTGAAACCTGTATGGACCAAAGAAGAAAATATAAAAACTAACATGGCGGTAATATTCGATTTTGACAATGTGAAACTTGTATGGACCAAAGTTCAATCTTTAAGGAAATATAAAAACTAACATGGCGGTAAGATTTAAATCGAAATGATCGCAGCTTCCTTTGTTATCTTAATTTGTACATTTTAATAAGATGCCTATAGTTGACTTAGATGATCACATATTGATCACAAGACTGACTTCTTTTCAAGTAACTTGATACTGATCATTAACATATTCTTTGCTATATTACTCATTCATTTACTTTAAAGTAAACTTTAAACAATTAAACTATTTCAAACTAAAACTATATTTTCTTCTATCCTGCAATTAATCTATTTTTGCTACAGCATAAATAGTTAGGAAGATAGTGATAAATTCAAATTGACGCTAAACGCATCAGTAGATGGTATGAGCGAGCCTCCTGGTTGAGATGTCTTAGTTTCTGCCACATTCATGTCAACATCACATTTACAGTAGTCTCCATCTTTAATTTGATCTTCCACAGAGACTTGAGCGGAATCTACATCAATCAATCTTGGCATGTCCTTCAAGAATTGAACATTAGCCCAATAAAAATATGAATAAGACAATTCGAAGCAGCAACAACAAGCCCGGTGAAATCCCACAAGTAAGGTCTGGGGAGGGTAAAGTGTACACAGACCTTACCCCTACCTAATGAAGGTAGAGAAGTTGTTTCCTAAAGACCCTCGGCTCAAAGGAAGAATACCACAAATCGAAGGTCACACATATATCTGTATGAAACACACAACGAATGATGGATGTATATCTCAAATTTAAACTCTATATGTATATAAAAAGTATACAAAAGTAAAATAAAAATTGTTACATGCTAAAAAGGTACACTAACTACTTTTATAAAAATACATGTGAAAATTTACTAAAATTTCGACAAATATTAAATTCTGATCCGTAGTGCTAAAATAAATTCAATATTAGGAACTTAAAAGTTGAACATGTCAAGTTTTAGTATTTGGATCGGGATCTACCTATATATGCAGCATGGCAACTTGGCAAGTAATTAAAAATTTAAAACACAATGGTGGAAGGACAAGAGTAGAGAATCGTGTGATGCTGTTTGTCAATGGAAACCAACTCACTAGGACAAGATTTCATCAGGGCAATCATGGAGAAGAATAACCCAAAATGGTTCGGTGTTGAATCTGTTCCCCAGTGTTATAAATTTTCCCAAGAAGAAAGAGTGTTTACCTTCTCTTTCCTGTAAATGGTGCCATCTTCTTCAACACGCCAACCAGCTTCGTCACACAAAGCCTTGAGAAGATCATTCGTGTCAGCATGCTTCGGCAGCTTATAGTTTCCATGAGCCCTCAGTCCAGCAAAGATCTTGTGTGCTACAGCTCGACGTTTTTGCTCTCTTTGCTTGTTCTTCTGCCTCTCCCTATCGGAAGGATAACGGAACCTTGTTACCACACTGCCGTCTTTGGTGGTTTTGTGAACCAACCATGGCCCTCTACTGGTTCTTATGCACCCTCTAAGAACACTTCTTCTCTCTGTAACCATACTTTTGAGTTCTAACTAGCTACTTTCTTCTTAGTTACTTAGTTGTTCGTTCCTCTTCTAGTTGTGGTAAGTAATAATTGATTTATATATAGAAAGACAACATGTAGACAAATTAGGAATAGTACAAAAAGCACAGCATATATTCCTCCAGTTTGGCGTGAGTACTATGTTCTGTGAAATCCTTTTAGCTTACTATGAAATATTTTACACAAATATCAATGATGATCAAAGGAGAGAACTTTACTGAGTACAGAAGATTTTATATCAGTTGGCCTTTTTTATTGGTTTCCCACCCGATGTCCGGTACCCGCATTAAAGCCAATTATATCTGGATTCACGCCTCGTAGGCCGCCATTCGGGGGGGGGGGGGAGCGCTCCCTGGATTTTTCCATCCCCATGGCTCCAACCCGAGGCCTCTATTTAAAAGAAGAGTAGTCCCATCCGCTGCACCATATCTTTTGGTGGTCATCATTTGGCCTTTTTACGGTTCTCATGAACATTGACAAGTGAAATAAAATAGGATTGTAAATTTCTAAGTTATGTGGACTCTCCATAAATACTACGCATCCGTGTCAAATTTTTTCAAAAATATACTTTTTTGGAAGGATCCGACACATACTCGGCGAATATTTTTCTGTTAAGTCCGAGCAACATAGGTTAATTTAGTTGGTATTTAATTGGTGTTAGTGATAAAACTCTTTTTTTTTTAAAATCTTGGATTAGTTATAATGCTTCCAACTTATTTGTTACACCCCGTGTTTTCGTACGTAAGAGTACATCATAAGTCAATTAATGTAAGCTCAGAAAGGGAATCATCTTTTAAAAGCTTACAAAGTTAGTTCATCATGTTAACGTGGAGGTTACAAATATTTAAGATCATTAGTACCAAGTAGCAAGAGGGTTTGAAGGCTTAGAAGCTAAACGAATTGAAGAAAATAAGTTTCGTCGAAAGTCGACAAGTTGGAATATTTTACCATGTACTTTTGGGGTGATACTAGGGTTATTAACATTATAAGGAGATTATATTATGAGTTATTTTAGTTGTACGATAGTTGGTGTTGTGTTTTGAAGTCAAGCGAGTTGTGGAACAAAAGTTGGAAAAGGTCATCACAAGTTCCATTTATAATATGCTGAAATTCAGGTCAAATGTAGATGCACTTTTCTCCCAATATACTTGGAATCAATGGATGATCTACATATCAAATTGAAGATCTACGAGTCTAGTTTCCAACGCATTAAATCGTTCGTCGATACGATATTGGAGTAGAGAGATATTTGCATTTTCGCGAGACAGCGCAGACTGATAGGTGACAAGTAGGTGCATCACCTACTTGCCAAAATGAGAGGACTTAATTAAAAACCACAAAGTCGGCCATGAGGGGTCTTTTAAGGGAATAAAAACTGAGTTATTTCACCTGTATTTCAGACCAAGAAAACCTAATTGAACCCCTGCAACTCCTCCCCCAAAATCCCACACAAACCCTAGGGTATTCCGGGTGTTACGACGCGATTCTAGTGCTGAAATGTCCGGACAGCATGCTAGTTTCTCTTTCTCCTTCTTGTATCCGTGTTGAGGAACTTATTTTTGATGAAAAAGGACCAGGTTTCGTGGGTGATACTCAGTACAAGGTAAGTTTATGCTTCTCCTTCCATTATCTATGCGTTTGCGAGTTGTAACTCGATCGTAAAGAATAGACCTAGCTAGTTTCGGAAGAATGGTATGTTGTTTGATCTTGTGCAATGGTTGGCTGGTTGTGAACTTATTTTTAAGTTAAATTCATGGCTGGTTTATTGTATAAGAGGTGTAATGATGTACTTTTGGTTGTATTTCTCAATTTGAAAGAAAAGACAAGTCGAAACGTGTTTAAGTAAACCGAAAAATTATGTTTGAGTTGATGAACTTGTGGGACTGTTTTTGGGCTGCTTCGTGTTGGTATTGGGTTGTCTCTTTCACTACTGTTTTGATGGAGTTGAAAGGAGGAAGGGTGTGGAGAAACACCACATAATGGCAAGGTTGTTTGTTGGTCGTTCATCGTAACATTTTCGGATTGTTTGACACTATTATGGTTGTCGTGTTGTGTATGAAGTGATAGGGGTATGTTGGGCTGTTTGTGATTGTTTTGACTAGTGTGAAGTCATATATATAGG